GAAGGATTACTTTTTGGTTAGATAAGTCACACCCCAAAGACTTTTTGGAGATCTGTGTTTTCTGGGGCTTATATTGACCCATAAGGTTTTTCTCCTTTTCCTCTTTCCAACATTTTCCTTCTTCTTTTATTAGGCTGTAAAGTCCTACAATCTGAAAGGACAAGTTTTACATTTAATTTTTGGTCTTTGGTCTTCCCTAGCTTAAATGATTCCATGACTATAAATGAACACAGAACAACGGCTGACTGAAACCTGGTCCAGGTTCTGTGACCAGGTGCTGGTTCTGCATGAACCAGAGATGAGGTGATGCCTCATGAGCTCAGATTCACCCACACAATCCCAGAGGGAAGCTTAATGTTCTAGCTTTCATTTTCAGTGGTTGGCTATGGAAATAGAAGTGTTTTTTCGCAGCTTGTTCTACCCCACCGGCACAGCCCAGTTTCTTCCAGCTCCTGCCGTTTTTACACTTGGTTGTGAAGTGTAAAGCATATTGAATTTTACAATTTTACAAATGGCATTTATAGAGGGAGCTAATAACAATCTTGGAACCAGGCAAAGCAGGAGTGCAACCCATGCAGATGATGACAGAAAACAGGGAGTAGTGGGCACTGATGTCTCAGGGGTTTCCAGGAGTAACTGGGGAATCTGCCTTGTTTCGAAACTCTCCCTCCTCCAGTCACTAAATGGAGGAAAGATAATGAGCTTTTGTAATAGGCATGGGACTGCTAATAAAAGCTTGTCTTGCTGACATCCCTTTATTGAAATTATTACGTGTTCCTTTTCATGTTGAAGCAAGATTAAAACAACCCTAGGATATTACTTTTTTATTGGAGTCAGAAATCTACACAGTGCCAGAAGAGACAAAAATCTAACCCAAATTCATACCTACAAATTGGAGGTGAGGATTTAATCGTCTTTTCCAACAGACACCATCAGACAAAGTGATCTTTTAAGAGGCTGACATTTTGTTGACAGAGATGGACAGAGACATTGAATGATCTCAGTGCCAAAACTGAAAGAATAATGTAGCTGGATCAGCAAAATGTCATGGTTAATAGTATCAAAAGCAACCAAAATAATTAAAAAGCAATAGGTCAGTCACATTGCCACACTCTGAAGACTGATAAATAATTAAAAATTCAAACCAACCCAGCCTCAGTATTATGAAAATCAAACTGGACTTCAGGGAAATGTTTTTATGACTAGATGGTCAGACACAGGACCATCTTTCCTTTCAACCCATCCCCCAGATCTTCTCCAAGCTCTTGAACAAGAGAGGTTAAAGAGAAGGTGATAATCCAAGATGATTAGGAGACAATGGCAATTTACTTATGATACCTAAATAATAACAACTCAATTCAAAACAGATAAAACAGAATCACAAACAAGATGTAGGATTACCCATGTTGAAATAAAAGGATCAAACACTCACAGAGACATTGATTGCACTTGGGGGGTATTTTGAATCTGGATCATGTAAAGCTTTTGCATGAACTTAATTTATTCCCATTAGTTCTGAGAATGTCAATGGAGAAACTCCAATACATCCAATTATATGTGTGCCTAGATGGCTGCAGCATCAGACTGTAAGGTGAATATGACCAACACAAGTTGAAATAATCAGCTAAAAGTCAGTCAGACAAGTGAGATGGGATATGAAAGTAGTTAAAATGCAACAGGAAAAGGCAGCAAACATTTCTGCAGATGTTTCAAAAAGGAGTTTTGCTAAGTAAGAAAGAAGAGGTCTTGATCAACTTGAAATAACTTAGTAGGACTGGAAGGGTACCCAGGCTTTTGCTTTCTAAAAGTGACATTGTCAAACATTTGAGTGCATTGTCATCTACTTATATTTTATAAAACAAAATTGAAATTTGCTTTTGATTTATTTTTCCCTTATTCAGTTCCATAGACACAGAAATACAAGTATCCCATGAAGATGAAATATTGATTCACTGAGATTACTGACTTGACATGCCAGGTGCTTGGCCCTGCAGGCAGCAGGAGGAGCAGCATTTGTCCTATGGGTCGGAGGTACTGTTGGGGCAATATGTGCTGCCTCCTGTAGGTCCTCAAGCCAAGTGGGTCTTTCTGGCCATTTTGCAGTCCACAGTTAATTTTCACAGGATTAAGTGAAACAGCAAACCAAAATATAGAAAAAAACCCATTCTGTAAGTCCTTACCCATGTAAGGAGATTGTACCTTACAGCCAGTCTTATTAACAAAGCAGGTATGAAAGAAAGTAGAAGATGCATTTTGACATCTACCTGAGATACTCCCACTAGGACTGTCAAAGGAAAGCATATCAAAATCCCTTCTGATGCAGCTGGCTCATTAATCATCTCTTTTCTTGACAAAGTCACCATTAACTGAATGATCCATTTCAAGATTGGTGCATAAATCCTATTTAACAATTTGCCAGTAGAATTGAGGAATTCAAAAATCCCTTCAAAATCGAGTCATCCCACTACTAGTTTTGAATTAAAGTTTAAACAGGGTAGAATACAGAAAGACATAGGACCAGATTTCATGTCTGTTACAATGGCATCCATTTGAGTTATTCTACTAAATTCAGTTGAATTGCAAACAATTCATGATTTTTGCTGAAGCTGAATTTGATTAATAAATCTGATTGTTAGACAGCACAGCACATTATATCCTTACTGACACCTTGCACATTGTTTTCACCTGCAGATCCCAAAGTGCACACTGGACACTGAAGATCCTAGTTGTGACCTTGATGCCAGCAAACCCATAAGATATCAAGACTCATACAGAGGTTTTTGTGATGTTAGTAGGAATATGTAGGTGTCAAAGCTGTAAGGGACAGGTGTCATAACAAACACAGTGGGACAAATTCATGCTGATGTTGATCACGATAAAATGCCAGCACAGATAAGATCTGAGACTGGTGCAAGTAGCTCAAAAGGTAACATACTGATTCTATACTGATTCTGTGTCAAGTGAAGTTGAAACTAACAACTAGAAGTGCAAGAAGACAATGTACAGACATCAATTAACCAAAACACTGCCTTCGCCAGCATCTTTCTGTGCTACAACCTTTAAAAGCCCAGTGGAGGAGGAAGGTGTTGTTTGTATGAGAACATCTGGAGAGGTCATGATTCTCCTCTTCTGCATACATCCCTCACTTCCCTTGGTCCTCCAGGCTTCTGTAAGTTGCTAACTTAAACAACTTGCTTTGGTACCTACATAATGACTTTCTGCTTGGTTCTATCCATCCAGTTTACAGCTGCTGTAGAACTTTCACTGGACATCAGATTTTGTTCAGATGATCTTTAAAAAAAAAAAAAATTCCCAGGAAATTGATTCATAGGGAAATTCCTCCACACCTTTTCCCCCAGTTTAGCAATCTTATCCACAAATCAATTATACTAGCTTGTGATCACATTTTATTTAAAGAAAAATGATTGGTTGGAGTTTTGATTCAGAGAAAAGTAGAAGATACTGAGAAATCTCATGTCTTGCCACTAAACATCAATTAATGTTGCAACTAAATAAACAGAATCAGAAAAGAGTAGTACCCCTGCTTCAGTTTGTCCCAAAACAGATGTAGCAAGATACCGTAATCCTCAAAATAATGTGTTACTTTTTTTTTTTTTTTCCAGAAAATGGTTTCAGAAAAGGTGCTTGCTGCAAGCAAAGCTAATAAGTTGCTCTGTTAGCACTGAGATTTACAAAAATTGATTTCCTATCGCACTGTGTCTTCTGACTGGATCCTATGGTGTCTAGTAGGGCTTAAGGAATGAGCAGAGTGCATGTGGGGGTTGGGATATTTTTCCCTCTCAATACCTTCTCTGGCATCTCTGGGTGGGCACAAGCAGCCTGCAGCTGCCTTCTCAGACAGGGCTCTGGAAAGGCCTGTCTCTTCTGCCGTTTGCTTCTCTGCATGAAACATTCAGGAAGGAGAGTGGCTTTGAACATTGTGCACTTCTGTTGGGTTAATCTGAAAGTGCTCATGAGTTCAGGAAGAAGGTGAGGTAGAGGGGCAATGATACCTCTGTCTTTTACACTCACAAGAACACAATTTGTGCAAAACCTCCATGACCATTCAGGCCTTTTTTTCTTAAGAAAACTAGATTAAAAAATTCCCATTGACTTTTCAGAGCTCTAAGCCACGACTGTTGCTAGATATCCCAACAGGGTCAGTTGGGTTGATACTAGAATTACATTGAGAGCTACACTAAATGTGTTGAGCATCGTAATGATGGGCGTCTCACATGGGGTATTATCCTTGTGATAGATAAACGAGTATTTCCAGGCTGTTCAGGACAAACCTGCAGGACATTGCAGGGACACAAAGGATAATGGGGCTGAGGAGGTGGGATGCATAAGCCTGGTGCAGAGGAGACCATTCCAGGTGTAGTTTCCTATGTCACATCCACTTGACACAAGGACCAGAGAGAAAAGAATCCCTTTGGGTCAGCAGACAGAGGAAAAGCACGTGGCTCAATGGGTTAAGGAATAGGCAAGTACAAGCCCGGCCCAGAGGGTGGTGAATGAATGAGCTTCCTCCCCCTCTCAGTTCCAGCAGTGATCAGGATTCCTTTCCCAGCCCGCCCCCGGGATTCCTTGGGCAGGAGGAAAAGGGAGAAAAGCAAGCCCTTTCTCTTCATGGGGTGCAGCAGGGGCACGGGGCAGCGCTCTCCACCCGCGCTTCCCCTCCACACCCCTGTGCTGGTTTCTGGGTGCTGCAGATTGAAGTTGAGAGCTGCACTTATGGAATGCAATTACATTTTCAGGACTTTTCCTTCCATTGAGGGCAAAGACAATTCAAGTGAGGAAAGGCACATGATTGAGATTCAATGTTTAACACGGTCTGTTCAAACAGAAAGATGAATTGAGACCCCTTTGAAAATGTGGTCCTAATGACACTTAGAGCAGAATAAATAAGGGGACTGCAGCTAATATTACTTTTCTAACTCTGTTGCCTGGGGGTTTCAGCACATTTGTGAACTTTCGCACTTACCTCCCTTAGAACCCACCTCTGAAGATGGCAAGTATTACTTTCTTCATTTTGGAGGGGGGATCCCTAAGTGCTGATGAAAGGTTTTCCCCTAATACTTCAGGAAACCTGTAGCAGAGAGAGGAAGCAGAATAATTTGAAAAATTATTCTGCCCTTTCACATTTATATCATTGTTTTCTTTTAATTCAAATAACTTCAGATATTTGCATTGCAACAGACATTTTCTAGGGCACTTTCTAACACCCTGAACCCACTAAAGTGTACCAAACCTACTGAAGTCAAAAGACCATCCTTAGATGAAGTTTCTGTGTGAACTTGTCTTAATTTGGCTTATGACCAATAAGATCATAAGCCCACAATAACACGGGGACCAAGAGATTGTAAATATTAATCTTGACTCAGAACTATTTTTTTTAGGACCATTGGCCAACCCAACAGAAAGTCAGTGTATGTCTCTGTAAGTTTAATTCAACTCAAACCCATTATTTTCTTCACATCATTTAAAATATCCTTTAAAATTTCCAGGGGAAGAAGAGCTCTTAACACAGTGGACATAGTTGGAAATGCATTTTTCTCCAGTGTATTCTGTCTTCTGTGTCAGCAAATCCTACTGTGGTGCACAACGAAAAAGCAGACCTTGGTTTTCTTTTTTTTTTTTTTTTTCATTTGGAGGATGATTAACAGTGTGGCATGCTGGCCAACAGCTAGCCATACTGTATGCTCTGCTGGTTGCATGTGTATCCCCTGACAGACAGTGTTTAGAAACAAATTAGAGGGCTGGGTATGAGGAGAGTCACAGATTTGGTCTTTGGTCTTTCAATGGCGGAAGCAACTGCATGCGAGCATTTGTGACTTTCTCAAACGTTTTCAGCGCTTTTGTAAACACTTCCAATTTAAACCTAGGTCATAGATCAATATCTTCTTAGAGGCATGCCCATGTCTTATCTGGAGATGCATTTGTGTCCCTTAGCCACATGTTTACAAGAGTCCATTTTGGGTCAAAATATTCCAAAAGACCATTTTGTATGTACTTCTGCCTGTCAGCTGGAAAGCAATCTTCTTCCCCTTCTATTCCCCTCTTCGCCTTCCATAGCATATTTTGGATAAAATTTGTCTTGACGTTTATGGGGAAAAAATAAAGAAAAGGGGTAAAACTAATAATCTGGGTAATAACTGCATAGTTGTTTCTCCTGCTATGGTCACGTATTGTCTGAGCTTGATATCACTTTCTCTTCAGCTGGTTCACTGAAGAAGCAGGTGTTACCAGACTTGCAGAAAGCTGATTTGGGACTGCTGAGATGCTTTTTTCTTCCATATGGAAGACCCTCATGTCAGGCATGTGACAATACTGGTCACCATGAAACCCTGTGTGAGCTGAGACCCAAGTGCAGGGGGATGGTGTCATGACTCACTTTGTGTTCTGCTCCTTGCCCCAGCAAAGAGGATCACTGTGGGGAGTAGAGTAGAAGAGACCCTGGTGCTGACCTGCAGGTATGGAAGGAAAGAACTGCAGGGATGCATCCCCAGAATGTCTGGTTTTGCATGTCTGGTTGTATGGGTGCAGCTTCATGGAAGATGACACAGTTGCACCTGTTTACACCAGAGATATTTTTGGAATAAAAGACACAAAGAAGCAAATCTCAGAGAAGCAGAAATCTGGAGACAGAATTATAGATACTACTGAATCCCCAATGTATTTTAAACTTCATTTTAAAGGGAAAACAATGGGAAAAAAGCCTCAAAGGCACATATTTAAGTGTTAGTTTCAAAGTAATACCTCCTCAGAGATCTGACTTTATCACTAGTGAAAGGAGAAAGCAGAAAATGGAATTGTTTTTGTTGTTCTATCATGTTTATGACATGACAAAAACGTGGAGTTCTTCTGCCTTTTGCTTTTCACCTTGTTGAACTGCTGTCAGACTTCTGTAAATCGTTTGCACCATAAACAAGCTTTGTGAGTGAAAGGGCAAGTGCTGAGAAAAGCCAAAGGCAGAGATTTTATATTGAATTTTTTCTTACAGAGATAACTGACTTCAGCATGGACCAGCTTCACCTAGATCTGAGAAGAAAAGCCAAGCATCATTGACAACAACAGCATAATGGAGCTCAAGCAACAGCAAATGGTCTAAGACTCTGAATGTGTTGGTTTTATTTTTAGGCAAAGAGTAAGATAATTGCAGCTGAGAGGATTTGGTTCTGAACAAGAGCTACTGCCTTGTTTCTCCTTAGATTTTCAGCCACAAGATATGGAAAGACTGACATCCCTTACGCAGGAGTACTACCTGGAAGCTGCCCGCTGTTGTGAAGCCCTGGCTGGTATTAATTGCAAAATAATTGTAATTTGGAGGACTATCTGTCCATGCACACCAGTGATGGGATACAGAGATAGGAGGAGAAGAGGATTCATTTTGCTTGCACATGTGGCTGTTGCAGTGTCAGGACTAGCACAGCAGGCAGTTCTGTTCCTTTGGCAGAGAGCCATCACACATGAAAAAGGCATTGGTGTGGTTCAGGGCATGGCAATGACAGGCTGGGATAACCTGGTCCCATGGGGACTGCTGCTTGTTTCAGTGCAAAGTGAGAGGCTTAACAGAATGTGCTTCTGTTTTATCTTGCTGGATTTTGCTGTACAGAAGCACAGGAAGAAGGCTGGAGAGTTAGGGCCACACGACAAATGCATCTTCTCACCAAAGATTGCATAAGTTTGGTTTGTTCCCATAGTGTCCTCTTTGCGAGTACAGTACTCCAGACAGATGGAGAATAATACTTAAGGAGCTTGAGAGCCATTACTGATCTTAATGGATAAACCCAAATCCACCTGTGCTGAAGCCCGCTAAATCCAGGCACATCTCATGCAAATACCTGCAGGCTAAATTCAGCTTGTGCCTCCAAGGGAGAAATTTTTGTGATTGGTCTCTTCAGTCGTTCAAGGTGCAAAAACCTTTCTGTCTTACATGCTTAGCTCTGCTTTGGTTGTTACATCTGGGACCTTTTAGAAAATGTGACATAGTCCAGTACTAATTAATTTGCTTTAAACTTTTTTTTTTTTCTTCCCAATTTGCTGCCACTCTTTCATCACTGCTTCAGTATGTCTACCTGATTTATTTAACAGGGTCTTAATGTAACAATGAACTTTAAAAAATATTGCAATCTCAATAACTGACAACAAAAAGCACAAATACATATCTTAGAAATGAATAAAAAAGGCACAGAGCCTGAGTTTAACTGATGCTATAAAGTCTCAGAGGGCTGTCCACTGCTGGGTGCTCTTGGCTGGGTATTCTGCCTATGGAGAACTTAAGATTTTGACACAAGGGATTCTCTCTATAAATCTACTATGAATATGGAACTCAGATGAATTATCTGGTGGGGAAAAAACTGAGGAAGGGCTGTGCGAGGCTTCTCCACCTGAGATATATTAATGATAGAAACTTCTCTGATGGGAAATTCAAATAGAGATCATTAGGGGGAAAAGGTGGATTTGGCCTAGAGAAAACCCATTTTTTCTATCTAATCCAGAAGGGGAGAAAAAAAATTCGAGATATGTGTCTGATAAATCTGATCAGAAGTTCACACAATTAAAGGACATACAGGTTATAGAAGAAAGGATTTCTCAGGAGACATTGGGAATACACAGGTGAAAGACTGACCAAGCATGTCCTGCCCACCATCCAGGAAGGCATCTTCCAGGTGGTCTGAAAGATGTCAGGTGCAGAGAGAAAGACCAAAAGGATCTGGTTGTAGCAGTACGCCTCTTCAAAGCAATGGACACAGTGAGGAGAAAAATGACCAGAAGAGGAGAGAGGTATCACAAAGATTTATATTCTTTAGGTCTGTACATTGCTATTTCACTAAAGATTCAGTGTGATTATGAAACTCCTGACTATTTCATCTCAAGTGGCGACCTAAGGTACCTGGCATGAATTCCTCCCTGGAGATGCTTGCTTCTCACCATGGACTGCATATGGAGTCTTGGTAGAAGGAAACCTTCCTTCAATACTCCTAATTTTTGTCTCCAAATAACAAGTTTGTGGTTTTCCTAAGTGAAACTGGAAGTCTGAATCTTGTCCCCAGCATATTTCTTAATTACACTACAGTTGTTAAGTTGTAGAAATGCTCCTTGAAGAATGATCTGAAAATAAAGCTAATAAACTCAGATGCCTTGCTGAAGCAGAGCCTAAGTATCAATTTTTAAAGTCACTACCCCAAACAGCTTTGTCTGAGCCTCTAACTGACTATGAAGTGTGTGATGATCACAAAAAATAAATAATATACATTTATGAGGGAAGAAATCAAATTATGATTGGCACTAGCAATCCCACATGGCCTGAGAATGCTCTGATGGATTGCATTGATATCCACTTCATTCAAACAGGCATCAAAAGTGCCCTTACATCCCATTTCCAGGAGTTGTGGCTCACTCCAAAGGGAGAGCTCAGCTCAAGCCCGGGGTCAATTCTGCAGCCACTGGTAGTGCTAAGGAGAGGCTGGCAGGAGATTAGACAGAAATGTACATTCAATAAAATCAAAAGGATTTTATCTCCCTAAAGGTTTGTAAGAAATGAGTTTATAGATAACTGTTTGCCCTATGGACATCATTCTTTAACTTTCACTGAGGCAGCACATGCTGTTATCCTATAGATATCCAATGAAGCAAATGATAAGGAATAGACGATTTTCGTGGCCAGTTCTATAGCACATTTAATTCTTATTTTAGGATAGATCTTCTGTGAAACTTGTATCAACTTCAGGGTTATTTTTAATGGGTTTACGGTTTGCCAGCTACTAATGGTATTTATTTGGAAGCCTCCAAAACCATCCCAAACCTCCACTTTCAGACTTTCATTTAACTGCCTATCTAAGAGCTTGTAACTTTGAAGACAAAGTCCCACATCTTTGATCTTCTTGATCCTTCTTTGACTTCAGCTTGACATTTGGATTTTTTCTGTCTCACCACTATGCAATTGAATTAGAAGCATTTTCTTTCAGAATCAATATATTTGATAATTTTCTACATGGCATGAAACTCAGAAATTAATTGATAACATAGTCTTTTTAAAGCCAAGTTAAAGATTAGAAGTTAGTTTCTTACTGAGCAATAGAGTAATTCCTAAAATGTTTTTTGTTTCCTTGTTTCCTTGCCTACTTTTTCCTTACTTTTTTCCATGTCTCTCCTTCTCCTTAGACTGAACCCTTCACAGAAAGATATCTCACCACTGACTAGGTATTTTCAATTAATGTTTTTCACAGAGATTTTTTACTACTTCAATTTGAAAGTTGATCTGAAAATTTTATTTTGATTTAGAAATGCTGAATGGACTTTCTGAAAATCCCCCTTTATCATTACAGAGACATTACTACTCATCATCCTTTAAAAAAGACATTTTTTGCTCCAAGACTCTGATACTTTGCATTGCTTTCAGGAATAGGTTTCATGTTCCCTTCACTGTTTGAATTTTATCTTCTTTGTAGGAAGGACAGAAAAAAAGACTTGCAATAAGCAGTGTATTTGGTGATTTTTTCCCCCCCTTTTGGGACTACCTGCAAACAAAGCTCTCAGAAATGGAAAGATAAGTAGATTATTACTGGTCACCAGGATATGTGACATTTCATGGAGCCACCAGCACAAATCAACTGATGCTCTACAGCATATTTCTAATTGGAACATTGCGTGGTTTCCCCAGTGGATAGAACAGCTGGGCGGCTGCTGAGGTCACTCATCACTGAGGGTGCTTGGTGTGCAGGGACCAGGCCAGGCTGCTCTGAGTGTCCTCGTCACAAATCTGGGTGTATACTTAACTTCATGGACTTCTCCTCTTGCTGCTGCCTATAGCTGTTACAGGACAGACCATGGAAACTTTGTGTGAGCTGTTTCTTTGTGGAGGGTGGGATGTTGACACAGTGAAGCAGCATTTATACAGTACAGCATCCAGTGGTTGTCACCTGGGGAGCATTTCCTGAGACACAGACAGCAGCTGGACATAGCTGATTGATTTATGGCAGACTTGGACTGACATGATGAAATACTGTAGCTGCTGCTGCTTTTTGGTGGAGTCAGAGAAAATAATGGGGTGAGGTTAATTCATATCATCCCACAGAACCAGAATAGCAGCCTCAGGAATTGCAAGCAAGCAAGGGGCCTTTGTGGCACTGCCTGGTGTGCAGAGCTTGCCCTGTACCTCTTCCCACAACAGCTGTCTGAATAAAGGGATGCAACAAGATATTGGCACTTGTTTTCATATTTGGGATCTAGATTTGGGATCAGCTAATTCCCCATTAGCTGTATTTTAGGTGCCTCTCTGCTGTCAGGAAGAACTTTGGGCCACATGTATTAGCAGTCTTTGAGGAGGAGAAGGCATTGAAAGCAGGACAGTGCTGTTGGCAGCCTCTAACTTGGCCAGTGGCATATTTATGCTTTAGATGATGTGCCCTGCATGTTTGCTAGGCTCAAGCAGAGTGTTTTTGTTTGGCATTGTGTCTGCACAGTGTAAGTTATTGATTTGCAGGTCAGGTACAGGTAAGCAGAACTTGTCTGCCCCATCACTATGGGTATGTATGGAGAGGGAAGGAAGCAAAGGGCTCCTTGCAAGACAGGGTAAACACCATGTGATGCATTAAGGTGAAACCTACATAGTTTGAACTGATTTGATCAATTTTTAATCAGTTTTAACTACACAACAGCAATTTACTACAAGGGTTATGTGATTACAGACTTACTGAGATTTTACTTGTTGGCTTACCATACTTTTTATGGGCTTATGATGATTTTAGGTTTTATGTGCTAATGACATTTTCCAACTTTGCTAAATGCATATCTGTACAATGCCCTTGTTGCCCTTGTCTTGGCAGAAGAGAACATTGCTACAGGCTGTCCCATTTATTAACCAAATATTCAAATCAGGGAAAAAATAATTTAACATGCATTACAGACTTTTTATAAATGCAGAATAAGTGATGTTTCACAAACACTGTGCAAATGCATGCACCTATAGCTGCATGTGCTTGCATAACATATTCAATGCTGTAAAGGGACAGGAAGCTCTAAGCCCTGAGCATCAATGCACTCCATCTCCAAGGTGCATTTGTTTCTGCAAAAGGCTGGCAAGGCTTCTACAGTGGTGGAATGGACCCCAGGTGCCAGAGTTGTCTCCAGAAATTCCTGTTTTTTCCACCTCTGCTACTGAACAGAAGGAGCTTTTCCAGCACAGGGAGCAGAACAAAAGGATTTTGAGTGCTCAGGCACAACTTCTGAGATTTTTTCAATTGGATAGCTAATTGGTGATCTGGTAACTCTTGGGACAGCACCAATATGGTTCTGGCATGACGAAATTGCCCAGAGGTTTCAGGAACATCCTGCTGATATCAATGGGCACAGAGAATTCAAAGCCTAACTAAGGCAAAGCAGCAGAATTGAAGAAGTGGAGTGTCTCAGAGATGTGGACTCTTCTGTAGATCATGCCATAATTGCAGCACCAGCTGCATTCACATTACAGTACCTTGGATCTGGCTGAGCTGCTCAGGGACTGGCACAGAAAGGGGCAGGGTGGAGGGGAACAAGGCAGCAAGTAGCATGGGGTGTGTGTACGGAGAAGAACAGGTTAAGGACATTATTGACTGGACTCTAATAACCCCTAATGACACTCTCTGAGATTTGCCCACAGTTTTGCATGTGGACTCTTCCTTGCCCACAAAGCAAACCCTCTGGTTTGAGTACAGCTATCCCCTCCCTCCACCCTCCAGAGCATGCTTAAAAGTTATGAGGCTAGGTTGGAGGTTTCACTGCATGCCACAACACTTGATACTTCCGTTTCAAAATGAACTTTTTTAAAGGACCAATCTAATCTACATAAGCCATGAAGCTCTCCACTGCCTGAGAAGGGTGTCAGACGGAGGATGACACAGTATGTCTGAGGACAGCTTGGCACAATCTTGCAATTCAGGATGTTATCTATTCCAGGCTTCCCTTGTGCTAGTCTAGATACAGGCAAAAGATGCTGTGGGCTGTTGTGAGCAGAAAGGTTATCCTGGCTTTGCTGCTTGCTTTGCCTGTGTCACAGCCCGAGAGAAGCCAGCAGGCTGCTGCTGAGCATGAGATCAAATAGAGATGGCCACGGCAGGGGACAGCAGCAGACAGCCCAGCTCTGCAGACCTTCCCCCAGGCTCCTTGTCCCAGCTTCATCCCTTCTTCCTTCCCTCCTAGTCCTGGGGCAAGAGATGCCCCAGATGTTCTCTGCCTGATAGGGAAACCCCACTGCGTCCGCGGCATTGTGACCCTTTGGGCTGGCTTTGGCTCTGGGTTTCTCTACATTTTGCTGGGTGGAAGGCTCTCAAAAAGCAGTTCAAACATCCTGGGAATACACCTCAAACAAATAAATTTGGCTTACTGGTCAGCACTGCAGTTTTATCTTCCGTTTCTCTGTTCAGTGTTATGAAGAAATAAAACATGAATTAGTATTGTAAGCCAGCATTCATGTGAACCCCATCATCTGTTTCAGTCACTCAGACTACTAAGGTTGGCTTTTAGAGTGATTCTTGTGTCAGAGATGAGAAAGTTACACAACAGACATTAGAGAATCACTTTAAAAACCTCCACAATCCTGCATTGAAATCCCATCCAGTAAGGGAGAGAACCAGCCCTTGGCTGGCTGAGATGCAGTCACATGAGTGTCCAACACAATGAACACACAGTGTCGACAGCTGAGGCCATTGAACTTTATGTCACTTCCCAACTACAGCATTTCTCATAATTTATGGTTATACTCGCCTTTCAACCTTTAAAACCTTTTCCCAAGTATTTGCAGCATTCTCACATAAATATTGCTACAATAAGTAACATCAACATTTAGTAGCTGTTTTTCAAGAATAACCGTGTGACACTATTATGGCATTCCATTAAACCAGCTGCAATGTGGGGAAGGCCTAAATCAAATCATGCTCACTGAAGGTAACGTTTACACATATACAAGGGAACAATGGATGGGAAAAGTTTATTCTGTGTTTCAAGACTTAAATGACAGTTCTGTCTCCTTTCATGGTTATGCAAGATGTCTCTCTCTGGTGAAACGACCCAGAGTGGACGCAGACAGCAGTGTACATTCCAGTGCTATTTGTTACCTCCTCAAGAAAAGTTGCAATTACAATTGCAATTATGTTTCAATTGTACAAAATTGCAATTATGGTTTGGTCTATTTATTTATTGTGGTGTTTTTAGGGAGAAAACCTTTTTTCAAAGGAACAGAGAATGTTGTCTTTTCCTCAAAGCTATCAAATGCTGTGAAATGATTAGTAAAAAAATTCCTTGCCAGAATTGTTCACTGTCCAAAATGCATCACAACAACTAAATGTAAATGACAGATAGTTAGCTTGCATATAGATACGTGCTTAATTGCCTCCATCCCTCCTGTCTGAAGAATGCACTTAAGCATATGCTCATTTAAACACATATGCTTCGTTTCTGTTTAGGTCAACAGGAATTGAGCACGTGCTTAAACATAAGCAAATGCTGAAGTGCTCCTCTTGAATAGGGATGCTTTTCTGGGGCAAAGCCAGAAAATACTCTTTTGTAATATTTCTTCTTACCTTAGCCTGCCTCGTGCTCCAGCTGCACTGTTGGAGTACTCCTCCTCCTCCTTCCTAAAAACCAAATTTCCTTCCCTCCTCATCTCCCCCGGGGCTGATGTCAGACACACAAACCGCATCGTTCTGCCCGCTAACCTTGTACATCGGGGCTGGCAGGGCTGTCGTCGTGGCGAGAGGCGAAGGGCAGGGGGCAGAGGTCTGTGCAGGAGCAGAAGGGCAGCTACACTGAGGAATGCACAGCGTCCCCGAGCAGGGCAAACATCGGCAGTGAAGCTGCTGAGGGCGAGAGAGCTCAGCAGCACCGCCCGTGCCCAGGCTGCCCTCCCGGTGCGTGCGGGACCCGCTCCGCACGGCCCAGCGCGGGGGCACCGCAGCGTGTCCCTGTGCACCGGCAGGGCCGGGTGGCTCCCAGCGCTCGGCTCCGACCTTGACCTGCATCCTGCCCCCACCCGTGCCAGCCGTGCCCCGCTCGGGCTGCGGCGCTGGCTGTGCAGATGGAATGCCCCTGCTTGGAGCTCTGCGTGGGCGCTGCGCTGCCGACACCCGAGGCTCAGCTGCGGAGCTGTGTGGGGTCCCTGCAGGAGAAACACCAAATCTCAGGGCAGTGTGGAAACCTTGCCAACAAACCGCAGAGCGATGCAGGGCTGGATTGCTGCTCCCCAGCGGGCTGCAGAGCCTGCCCAGCTGCTGCAGCAGGTGACGTCTGGCTTGGCGGTGGAAGCCCTGCACAAACACGTGCTTGCGAGAGAGCCTGCAGCCTTCAGGGCTCCAAGTGCAACTTACTGCGGTTGCACTTCGGAGCTGGATCTGTTGTGCCTTATCAGCTTAATTAAGATAAGGATATGGAGTTTATGCTATATTTCCGTAAAGGACAGGGCAGGGGTATGAATGATTTATATGGCATTAATTGTATTTGTAACTTAGGTCTGTCACTATGCATTAATAAAACCATAGTTTGAATCCAAGTAAGGGAATGAAAGTACAAAAAATTTGTTTTTTCCTTAACAACTTTCAAAATTCTGCTGTTTGCAAAAACAACCAACATGCAATGGGCAAAAAGTACGAATGGCCAGAGTCTGGACCGCCTGGGCAATAATTTATAAAAACACATCCAAAGGCAACTTTAGGGAGCAAATTTGATGCAGTGAAAGAAGATTGGCTCCTCTCCCTGCCCTGCAGGTAATGTGTTTGCCTATGACGGCAGCAGATTATTTATTCTTTTTTTTTTTTTTTTTTCCTCCCTGCCACCGAACTAAAGAATGCATTGTGGGAAAACCATCCTGACACATGACACTGTGCAAAGGAGGATCACAGCGTGAGGCAGCATCAAGGGGCTTACTTGGTCTTGATGCACTCTTGCACAGCATGGGGCTCCAGAGATGAGTGTCTCTTCCAACGAAAGCACTGGTGCAATTTGCACAACTCTCATGAGAGCGCACGGTGAAGCTGCTCTCAAAGCCCTCATGTAAACAGGGCTGGGGAAAGAAAAGGGGGAGTAAAAGAGCCTGCACCATGCACGGGGAAAAAGCACAAAAGGAGATGGTTCAAAAGAGCCTGAGCTGAGGAGGAGGGGAGTTGTGAGGGAAGTGGGCATGGGGCGGGGAGGGGAAGGGGCAGAAAATTAAATCCAAATATTAGAAGCAGAAGGGAAAGCCTTAGTAATGAAATGGAACAGTTAGCACCACAGGGATGGGAGCGGTCAGGAGAAGTGAAGTATGGGAAGACACTGGATGGCAATGCACAACTAGAGATTTAGCTTTCAAGGCAAAACCACAGCTGAGATGTGCTCTGAAGACTGTGCCTCAGATATGCAGCCCTTAAACTTCTTCAAAATCTTCTAAGTTCAGATAATAAGTTTGCATAAAGAGAGAGAGGGAGGGGAAGAGAAAACATAAAGGCGGCTGTAAGTGCTCCTCACTAGCCTGTCTCTGAGCAACAGGCCCTCCTGTACTCGCTCTCCCTTGTTGCTCCTGCTTATCATAATATGCCACTTTTGCGCATCAAATTTACATTTCAAAAAATGCTGTATCGCTGCTCTAAAATTAATTATTAATCTTTCATCAGTCCCTTCCATAGATACATTTTTAACTTTGATTTTGCTACCCGTTCGGGGGAGGGATGGGAGAAGGGGGTGGGGAAGAGAAGATCCTTTAATCTTGTCACTTTTCTGTGGGGTTCTCCTCTCGTGTAGTGCTACTTCCAGGCCTGTGTGTCCCCTAAGCACTCTGGAGGTACAACTTGAGTTTTTTTGCTTGCTCGGAAAAGAATCTTCCCACACTTTTGAGAGCATGAATATTTGCACCCTGCAGGATGCAACGCAGAGAAGCGCCTGCTCCTCTTGTCTGACCTGGCATTTCAGCCTCAGTAAAAGGAAGCTGTACTGATAAATCAAGTACCCCAGGCTAAAGAGGTGGGTGGATTATATGCCCATGCAAGGGAAAGAGATCCGGGTGGGGTTTATAGGGCCTACCTAGAGTGCAGGATGAGTTTACTTACTCACCAATCAGCTCATCACAGTGACTTGTAAGCAATGGCTTGAACTTTAGTTATTTACTCTTCAAGGCATGCAAGTACTGAAAATGAGAAAGGGGGCATTTGCTCTTAGTTTACTGAAGACTGAGTCCTTCTCTTGCCTGAAGTGTAAAAGAAAGAGGAGCAAAGAGGGAACGATGTGTGTCAGATGGATATCAGAGAGATGCAAGTGCTGGCAAGCTCCATATTTGTCCCACTCCTGGTCTGGAGTTGTGGCAAATGCTATAATCTGTCTGAAGGAGGGGGAAAGGGCTCACAGAAGATGCAGTTATGATGAGATGCTTTTACGGGTTACGGAATAAACACATTCCTTATTACTTCTATGCTGTGAACATACTGATCAGTGGCTTCATAGCCAAATGCACATGTGTGTAGGTGTCCACACACACACAGACACACACAGACACATGCACACACGTGTGCTTTTACTCACCCCTTCCCCCAGAAATATGCCATCTGGACGTTCATGAAACTGAAGTGCTGTGTGTAGGCTGCTTCCTTGAATTAAGGTGGAAAGATTTGATGCACCCCATCATATTCACTGCATCTTGCTCAAAAGGGACAAAACATTATCACATTGGAAGACAGATGTCAGCACAACATGGCATCTAGTTAAAGGCCAAATTCTCCCAGTTATAAACAACAATACTTTACATTGCACTTTTTATCTTTCTACTCACATGTACAGTACAGAATGTGTACTCTTTTCAGAAGCTCCTTTGCTGTGAGCTTCTGGGTGTATGCGTGGGTGAATGTCGCTCAGGATGTTGGACTTAATCAGAGGTGAATTTGGATCAATAGACTATCACTTACTAGAAAATCAGATAAAGTATAGGGTGAAAAGAAAGATAAAAATTCAGAGGAAAACACACTGTGCTTGTTTTCCAGACCCCCATCCCCTGCGTGTTTCTTCACCGGCAGTGCTTGCCCAGATTATGAATTTATCCCTGTGGTCGTCACCTCCAGGCTGTGCCTAGGTTATGCAGCCCTCTCAGATAAAAATCTGCAGTGCCAACCAGCAGATCCACTTTGAAGGCTGCATGCTGTAACACTTTCATCTGGGCTATACTTCACCAGTAATAAATTATCATTCACACAGATGCAGCCAATAGCTCTCACAGCATACCTCTACATAAACATTATCCCCTCTGCCTTTCACAGTTGGAGAAACCCAGCCAGCAAAGTTGCTGGAGGTGAAGAGGGAGTCAGCAGCAGCTCTGGATCAAAACTGAAACCTTGCTCAATCACACCTTTCTTCTTCATCTTCTAGACAGCATCTGAATACAGCTGCACATCTCCTCTATGTGATTTATTCTGTGTAATAACACGGATTTTTTTTTTCAAAGCAGACTTTGATTTCAGTTTGTTGACACTAGTTCTGCATATATGTGTAATTATGTAGGATTATCAGTGTGCTACAGAAGGCCCACTTTGTATATTATGCCTCTACAAACCACTGGAAATTAAGTGCCGTGATTCTCCTTGCAGATTCTCATTTGGGGGATGCAAAGTGAGAGTGAGTAACTGTAAGCATAGCTCATGTTTCATAAAAATAAACAATGCTTATGTGGATGTGTGACAGATGTTACACCTTGTGGAATGCATTGAATTCCTTATAGCCAAGTAAAAAAAAAGTGAGAGCACACAGGCTTCAGAGAAATTGTGGTTTCAGCAGGAATGCAGCTCTTGCAAAAATCCACTACTGGCCTTGGGAAATGCCCCTTTTTATTCATATAAGAGCTGAAAATTGTTCACTGCCAAAAATGCTAAGGATTCTTAATTGTGCACAGTCTCTCCTTAATCAAAACACAGGCTCCGTTTTCGGTGAGTTACCCTCTCTGCCTGCCCAGACTGCCAGCCTAACTGACAAGCTGCATGTGTCAGAAGGACATAGAAAGAATTTTCTTACTTCTTAGAGCATTTTCTTTCCTTTTGAAGTGTTACAGTTGTTGTTTTTTTATTTCATCTCAGATTCTTCTAAGGGTTAATCTTGGGCAATTTTTTTTTCAATTGGTCCAGGAGATTCCCTTGATTGCTGTCTTTTCTTTGTTGCTTGGGACAGGCCTTTTCAGCAGAGTGGGACCATAACAATATTTCCTGATGAACAAAAAGTATGGCTGGCATGGGCAGGACAAATAAGGGAAGGCAGTAGGTCTTCAGCACCTGAGACAGGAATCTCCAGAGAAAACATAAGCAGATCAGAAGCATTTATCCCATATGTTATAGCTATGCTACACTGCTCTCCCTAGCCAGAAGTATCCCTGCTGGTCCAGGACTAAGACATCCTTATTCTTCCCCACTTGCATTCACCTTCCTGCACCGTGGGTCTGTGTAAAGACTTGACCAGTGCTACGTTTCCCCACCCACAGCTCTTCCCTCCAGACTGTGCTGGAAAGAGATAATTTAGCTCCTTGTCCCTGCTCCTGTCTTTGCAGTGGGAAAAAGATCCAGTCCTGCAAGTGGCTTTTCTCTCCTGTGAACTCACTGGTCTGCGGGCAGTCTGAGCCCCACTGCTCCAGCCAAGGAGACACTGGCCCTGTGCTCACAGAGCCCAGGCTCTGCTGATGGCTGCTAGCCAGTCCCACACCTGCTGAGCAATGCTCATCCAGAGCTTGGGGCGGGGAAAGGACAACTCCCCACTCTTCATATGTGGAGAAAGGACGATTCCCCATTCTTCACATGTGGGGAAAGGACAATTGCCCAAAGCTGGCTGCCTGAAGGACCAAAAAGTGCTGCCCTTCTCAGTGCCCTGCTGCATGGGGAGCTCAGCAGCTGCAGGAAGCCTTGTGGTGCCAGCAGCTGCATCTCTATGAGAGCAGGGAGTGAAAATCAGAATCCTTCTACTGATTCTTGCTGTTATATCCTCCCCATCCTTTATCACTCTCTGAGCCATGCTTCACAGCACTTCTAATTACAAAGTGAAGCCATCACAAAAACCTTGGGCCAAAATAGAGTGGAAGTCACAGCAGCAGGGCATATGAGGGCAACTGACTTAGGAAAGGCAGAGGCACAGGGGCAAGCTCTTGGAAGCTGAAGTGCAAAATTGCACTCAGACTATAGACATGCTGTCCCAGCCAAGTATTTTCTCCCCAATGGACACTGGATATCTCACATGAAAGCCCAGCAAATTATCTAGGGGGTTTCTGCATGGAAATAATTTCAATATAGCTGACACATGGCAAGCTCACGTCCTAGCTGGTAAGGTCAGCATCTTCAGCATCTTCTTTGGCTCAAACACTTGCCAAGCTTTTTGTAAAGGTGGGCCCATAACTGAGGTTAAAAGGATGTATTAATTAGAGGACCAAATCTTAAGGCCTGGGGACAAAAGAGCATTGTCAAACCCACATGCCCCCTTTGGTGCAATCAGCCTTGGCAAATTACATTCAATTGGATTTAAAGGGATCCAGAAATGCAGACAAATTCCTTGCATCTAACTCTCCTTCCAGGCTTGGGACTAAGGTCATTATTGTGGGGCAGCAGCACTGGAAAAGGCCTATGGTGTTTGTCCTCTTCCTATAAGCATCTTTTGGATGAAAGTTTTTTGTGGTTTTTTTTTTTTTTTTTCCCCTCTATGGAGAAGTAGTTCCTTAATTTTGAGATTCTTACCAGTGTGAGAGTTTGGATGGTTGGAGAAAAGTGAAAGTTCATCTCTCTGCATCCCACTCCTCTCTCAATTTGTATCATGCTGCAGAAAATGCTGCAATGAATCCAACAGCTGGGAATGCTTCCTTGACTGTTGTGGAGCTTCTGCAGACTACCTCCCCTCCATAGGAAACTGTCTGCCTATGTTTGGTCCTGTGAGTGCCCTGCAGGGTTGTGCCGCAGGGTTGTGCCACAGGGCTGCAGCCTGCAGAGCATCTTGGGGTGGCACAGACTGCCTCTGAGTGGAGCTGACACAAGCAGTGGCCACAGGAATGGTCTCTTCTCTGTCCCATCTTGCTGC